ATGACCTGTTCAAATGAATAAAGCGGAAAAATCATTCTCAAAATACTGAAGGGGAGATGTCATGTATAATTATAGTTGTTGTGCCTCTTGCTGTGATAATGACCCTGTTTCTTCCTTTTCTGGGATGCTTCAAGCCATCCTAGATCCCATTCAAATGATTTTTCCACGTGTTTCATATGAAAAGCGTCTGACCAACAATGGGATCACGGAAGTGAAAGTCGTCGATATAGAAATATCTGTATGATCGAATTCTACCGTGCCTTGACGGACTGAGAGATACGTATGAGGTCTTGAGATGTATAGCTAGATAGGGCCGATAGACTAGTGCTAGTGCTGTTTTAAGGCCCAGGGACGTCGATTCTCACTGAGTTTTTAAACATTGTGTAACGCGATCACGACCTGTGCTCATCCTATATCAGAGCGTCTACTGGACACTCTATACCTTATGGTTATTACAACGCACTCTGATCTGCCAGTGCACATTGACGCTCAGGGCTTGTGTCAGTATATTATGAACTGAGTAGTAATAGGACGAGACACTTTCAATGCTCCTTAGCTGCATCCAATACCAATATTAACACATTTCATACAAATTGTATAGGTATTATAACTCTGTGAGTTTAAACTGCGAGAAATATTTTCCACATCCTGCTTCACATATCTCAGCTAGTGACAGTGATGTTATGCACTAGACACACACCGTCCATACAGAGGTATTTAGCGGGTGTCAGTCGGTGCGAATTGCAGACAGAGACAGCTATGGAGTGGCGACAGTCACAGTGGTAGGTCACATCTCCACTGCAACTGAGACAACAGCCGCACGCACTCCAACTCAGGGACAGGGTGCGTCGTCACCAAACCACCAACAGAGGCGGTGAGGAAATACGCGGACCCACTCCAAAGGAACTCAAAAATGACCGAACATCTAAAACTCAACCTAATTATTCAAGAAAGAAAACCCTACAATCTTACTTCCCTTATCTATATATCATATATATTATATAGTGTGGTGAAGGGTAACTAAAAGAGTGCCTCCTAGACATAGACATATGCTGACTTTCTTATGCCAATGATACTGTGGGTTGGGGTAAAATGAAAAACAAAAATTTATGCTGGAAGACTGCACATGGAAGTCGGTCTTGGTGACACAGAATTTTATAGCGGGTGTGTACAGGAATGTGAGAGTATATAAAAGGAGTGTAATTAAGACGAAGAACAGGAACTTAATTAAATCCTTCCACTGTGTTCTACTATTGGTTCTATTCTTAGGAAATGATACAATGATCAAAGTGCAAACCCTCAGCGAACTGCGCTAATGCGCGTATCGCTCATTGTTGGGCTGGGCTATTAGTATGCATTTACTCTGTCTCCACACGTAGTACGTAGCTCACGGAGAGTCCAGACACAGCTAGCGACAGTAGTCCAGTACGTAGATTGCATGCGGGAATGATACCACCTCGTTCTTGTGCCTGCTAAAAGGTATATACAGGATCAGGTTGAGTAAGCCAGTGCATTTATGCATTATTATGCCTTTTTCGCTGTGTTTTCACAGCATATACTCTCGACACAGTCGTTTACAGGGAAATCACTATTTGTTTTCAGGCTCACAGTTGTGTGAAGCCGTTGATACTCGCGCACTAAGCTTGCGCCTCGCAGCCTTATAGTGCAAAATAAGCATCGAGCACACACACAGAACAAGTACTGTTCCCCATCGTATGGGCGCCGCAGGCGTTAATTAAGCCTGTGTACTGCCACGCTTCCAAGCAAAACATTACAGGGTGGTGCACAGCGCGCATCTATAAACAAGACATACAAATGCGCCAATGAAAATACTTACCAACAAGCTAACCCGACAGAGGATATTTGACCACTGCTTTTCTAGATCACATGTCTCATTAACACGATAGGCTCTTGCCCATTACTTGTGCAGCATACATCTGTATTAAATGTGTCACATAAAATTTATGTTGGTAACTCAAAAAGTTTAGTGCCATGTAGCTAGGCCTCACATGACTTCCTGTAGAGTACAGGAGATCATGTAGCTACACAAAAGCCTTTTTTGTGCTTGAACAGCAAAAGGGAGATGTCCTATGCACAAAAACACGGTCTGGTAACCGGGGACAGCAAGATAGTTAGTTTGTAGTTGTTAGCCAGTACCAGCTTTCTGGGTTCAATAATTCCGATGTATAATTATTAGCTGGTTGTTTCCTTCCAAAAATGATTTCTCAGACTTGACTGATTCATGCACATAAATGTATGCTCTTGAAAACTAAACATGGCATTGGTCTGGGTACTGGGGAAGACAAGTAAGTGTGGGCAAGCGTCACAACATTCTGGTATCTATTTCCGTTCTTTCTCTCTCCCTCCAGACCCACGTGCTTAATTACTCTTTGGTGTTCATAGCACAACATATAGAACACATTACAGTGGCAAATGATCACAGTTGAATCACAGTTGATATATACAGCAATGTGTAAAGTTTGTATTATGTTCTACCCATGAGAGTTACATAAAAAGCTAATGATAGATAGTGCAATAATTACACATACTCCTGGACCACCTGCAAGCAAGGTACGTAGTAGAATTGTGAACAATTAAACTATTATCGGAACTCTCTCATATACTCACTGATAAGAGGATTAACAGATGTAGCATGTCCTGAACCACGAGGTGGTTCATCGATCGTGGTGGTACCCTCACTTTGTTGAACCTTAAAGATTAACATAATAGTGTAGCGCTATACTGTGAGGTGTCTAGCTATGAACACACATTACATAACGGACAAACCAATCACTCAGGGATTTCACAATAAAAAGGATTTTTTTCAGGGATTATCCTCATTCCTGGCCCTCCACAAAAGTTAAATATATTGCACGTGATCCTTAAAGGCTGATTCACTTGCGTGAAAGTGTCTGCTGGGGACAAATTTACAGGGAATGTGACTTACATTCACCAGTGCTATATAGAGCAACCAGACCCACCATGTTTGTGTGTGTGTATACCGAGAAAGAAAACATACCTACTCTACCATTCCATGTTTCTTCACAGGTATTTGTCACAGCAACCAGTATAAGCTTGTCACTTGTTGAGCTGAAGACTTTCGGAAGAGGAATCACAAAGTTGCCTGTCGTTATATTCATTGCCAATGTCACTAAGTCTGTGTTTTGGCAGACAGGACAGGAGAGAGTCACATTGGAGGCGTACCAGCTGGAACTGACATTGGTCAAGATTAATAAGCCGTCATCAAGACCACTCTCAGAGAGAGGGGTGGTGCTGCAACTGCAATATGAAATCTGTCAGAATAACTCTCATGATTTAGATTTAAGGTGTGCATAATAGAAAGAATGTTTGGCTTGAGATACAAAGTTCCAAATACCAAAGACTCACCTAGATTGGTGAAGACTTGATACTTCTCTCCAATGGATATTATCAGACGCTGTTGTTGGTATCTCATCTCAATATAAATGGTCAGTGTATAGTTGCATTGTGTTCCTTCAAAAGTGACACACATGAAACATTAATATTTATTGATAACCTGTCACCTTACCGATGTTGTTTATTTGAATTTCGTTAAAGAATACCACAAAATTTCCCACTGACATGCTTTGCTGCTGACTTGTGAAACTAACTGTCTCATCCCCAGAAGTCATTTCACCACCTACTGCACCAGATATCTTCAGTACACGGGAGGCCTTTTCCCCGCAATAGCCACTTACAGCATACTCAACAACTGAAAGGATGACGAAAGAGAAAAGTGAAAGTAGCAAAAGTGTTTGCAAGCCATTAATACAGCTAGGTATGTCTCAAATCGTACTCTCAAGAAAGCAGCATGCCCAGTCTCTGCTATGAGCACACACGACAGAAGGACGTTCTATAGAGGCTGAAGTGTTACTAATACTGATGTACACATCCCTGCCCTTCATACTCACACTAGAGGGGTTCTTTGTGTGTGTGTGTGGTGTAGTAGTGGGTGGTGGAGATCCCCACACCATTTAACAAAAACATACCATTTTCGTGTATATGTGCCAGAAGAGCGGGCAGAGCAATCAGCACCATACAAGAGAGCCATTTTTTAACCTATTGTGGAGCAAAGCCAGTAACAACACACCACAGAGCCACAGTCGGCATGCATGAGTTGTGTAGGGAGACGACCAATGTATACTGTTTATGGACATCTCTGAACACCAAATCTCTGTGGGAACACCCCCAAAATGGCATTACAACTCTTTATGTTAGTAAAAGGGCTAAATTCATAGCAACTCACCATCGTCGCTATCGTGTTATCTATACAGAAGCCACCGCCTACTATATACAGTATGACACAAAACGGCGCAATAATTGGAATTAGCTACATTACATCATTGGATGATGTAATGTTATGATGGGTAGATTCCTGTTATGCATCAGCAGCTACTCACGCCATATCCTTGAGTCACCACCATGAAATTCGGATAACAAAACATGTTGTAAGAGGTGTATTCTCATCGACAACCACATAAGTTTTTTCTAAGGGGTAAATGTATGTATTCTACACACAGAAGGTTTATGATGCAGAGCCAAAGCAGTGCCCTATTTTCAAAATAAAAAAAACAGTCCCAGTGTCTATCCAAGTGCCTAGCTTGTCCAATTAAATTATGCTATTTCTAACATAGCCCAAATAGGAAGACCACTTATTAGCTTGCTGGTAACAGCAAGGTGAGCTAGTTAACATTTTTACGTCCAAGGCGGTGGTGCAGCTATATATAGCTAGCTACAACAAAACTGCAAAAACCTTGCTCTTGTCCTTGAAGATCCACCACACCCCCAGAAGGTTCTCCACAATCGGTACACTTCTACGCGTTGCGACGAAAGAAGGACGCAAACGTGAGCAGGGAGGCTCGCTTGGTGCACTCTAGAGCAGTGATATTCAGGTTCGCCCACTGAGGCGCTGGGACCGACAAGCATGCGCACTGTGGTTGTCATTGTCATGCGCACATGATAATGCGTTCTTCGCACATTTCTGTAACTCATTGATGCAAAATTTTAGGCAAGGAGTACGCCTCATTTTCTATCATCATAACAGTTTCTGCTTGTTCTTTCCGAGGTTCTTTCACTTTCACCTCCTCATATGTAGGGAGTTGTTTATTCCTGTGATTCGCTCTTCGCTTGTGATATTGAGAGTACAAACAACCAAGTAACATTCCCAAAGGAAACGAAACCAAAAACACAGCTCCTCCAGTGATAAGATACAAGTAAACAGCATCTTCACGTTTGTTGTTGGAAAAGTACGTCTCTGCAAAAATGCATAAAATCATACGATGCCAAAGCAGCTGGGACACACCTGTTTCAAAACATCCCTGAGTGGAAGGATCGGGGAACCAGGTCCCGTTGGCTGTACACACAGCCACACGATTCACATCATCTCCTTGTAGTTCCAAGCTTCTGCCACATTCAATAAGGGCCTTTGAGCTTCTTTCAGTGCCAGTGTAATGAAGAGTACCACCCATTGGAGCAAGTGGAGTTCCACAGTCGACTGCAGAAAAATTGGTTAAAATAATATGCATTATAAATCCTTTAACCTTGCTTGGTGCACTCTAGAGCAGTGATATTTGGTGTCCATTCTCCAGACGAAGAGCACTTGGACACCATCAGTTCAGTTGGTTCATATCCGCTGTCACATTGGTAGACAAGCACTGATCCAAGAACACTTCTTTCTTTATCTGTGTGTGAATGTGGCGGTAGCATCGGAGCACTGCAGTGTGCTGCATCACTATAGAGCAATGACTATTTCACATTAGTGATATAGTGTGGGGAATTCTTTGTGTGTACCTCAAAATTATGTTCGAACACTTGATTTCCGATGGGTCTGGAGTCCAGGAGCTATTGCTTGAACATTTCAAGACAATTTCCTCATCATCAGCACACACAAACTTTACTTGACTTCCCTCGTGTGTGGGTATGACCGTATTTTCCTGGTTACTAGCATTAGCTGATAACAAATCTGGAAGTCCGCAGCTCACTGTGATAATGATCACAGACGCTTATATCTCAACAAAAATATTACAATGAAAACATACCAGAGTAGATGCTAGTAATGTTAGCAGGTGGGCCCATTCCTCCACAGTTTGTAGCAGTATTTTGCATTATGTACATTTGGTTGTAGTGTAATGTTATGTACAATTTGTTTCGCCTGCCTACATGGGTGTGTAAGGAATGCAGAGATCTTAGTGTAGTGGTGTAGTTCGATATTCCCAGTCCACCATCGCTCTGTGGTCTTGTCCACTCCAACAGAACTGTGAAAGTCTCAATGTCATGATGTGTAGTTGTGTAAACGGGAGAGAGTGGGCTTGATGGAGCAACTGTCAAATGGAAGATCAGATACATGCTGTGTTTAAGGTGTGCAATATCAACTTACCTCCATAATGGTGCAAAATGCAAGCTGACTCAATTTCATCCGAGGCGCCATTGCCACACCACACTCTCTTATTGTGGAAGCTTCCATGCGCTAAGATGGTCAGAGTAGATGTGATTTGTCCAAGGTAAATCATATTAGGGACAACGTTAGTGACATTAGCAATAATTAGTCCTTCTTCGACTACTGTTCCAACTGGGTCATGCTGAACACTAAGTATGATGGAGTTGCTTTCAAAGGTATGGAAAGACTCCACTGCCCATTGCAGAACACCAGTGTTAGGTACAGTACATGTATATATCACAGATTCTCCTGGACAAGCTGCAGTCCTATTCTCACTGTTGATGCTGGACGAGAGCTCAATTCCACTTCTCAACTGTACGCATGCTGCTGGAAAAATGTTATCAATAATGCTGGGTAAAAGAAAGAAAGAGCTAGACCACCTGAGAGAGCTTCTGCGGATACTACTAGCACTGGGATAATTACGAAGAGCTGCTCCATTGTAATACAATGCATCCAGCCGTGTGCGTCTATATAGCCTCCGCGTGCGCATGCGCGCGAGCCGTTCACTTCATTCCGAATGGTTTTAGTTCCCGGGGACTGTGTATAGCTAGCTAGCAACGCATGCAGCGCTAGCCTCGTTAATTCCCAGGCCTTCCGCGAGAGAGAAGGCCTGGTGCGCACACTGTTCGCGCATGCGCATAATTTCCCCAACATTCCGGGAATTCCGTATCACGTTCGATTTCTCCGTGTGCATGCGCGAACAGTGTGTGACCAACCAGGTACCAGGCTAGGCCGGCCTTCTCTCTCTCTCGCGCGCGCGCGGAAGGCCTGGCAGTGTAATGCATGCAGCGCCAGCTGTTTTCCCCGCCTATATATAGAGAGCGAGCCAAGAACAATTCTTCGCTAATATCCTTTTGTCGTCTGTAGGACCAGCTAAGTCCGTCCTTTCAATTCTACGAGAGAGGCTGACACAACTTCCGCTGGCGGAATCTATGACTTGGCCTACTATTTGAAGAAGTGGATGGTCCAATTTGTTGGGCCTTTATTACTCTTCATTGACTGTTAGCTGCAGACGAACTACAGGAGCTTTTACCAAACCATCGGTAAGGCTGAATAATATGATACAGCTAAGCAGTACGGCAAATTCACCACAAGAGGCAATGTATGGTAGCTATACACGAAGGGAGTATATACAAGTCATGAGCTATAGCTGTGCATGCATGCAGCCCAACAATTGTTTGGCTCGCTAATGCTGTTACCTTAATTATAGCTATGTGATGCCCACCTTTGTAACTGAGATTCATACCTAGGCACAAAAAAAAATTATTGCAGCACCACGTGAGTATTCACAGAATTCCTGTGCCGTATCCGTATATTATAGCACATGTATTATTATGGTGGTTGGTTATGCTGGTTATCGGCAAGATAGACAGGATAATCAGTGCATCAGAGACAGACATAGGACTGATAAGCTAAAACATGTTTTTTACTAATCCTGGGGTTGATGTCCGTGGTCTGTCCATCATGTGGGCCTACTGTTTACGCCATACTATATAGTAGTATATTGAGGCCTTGTTGGTAAGAAACCAATCAAGCAACAGGGGTATTACCGCCAATTAGAATGCATTACCACGGTGGTCGGCCCTCGCACTATGCTGAGGTAAGCACTTAGCCAGCTGTAATTATGATGAGCATGCAAGCACGTACATACCATGTGTACTATTAATAGTAGCCAGGGATAAGTGCTATTAACAGAAGCCGGGGATAAAATGGCGTCGTGTGTACTCTACGTTGTGAGTTCCTTGTAGGGTTTGTTATAATTTATTGCCATATATATTGTGTCTGCAGGTGTTGTGGCTACTGGCATTCTCAGCGATCATACCCAGAGGCCAAATTCCCAATGGAAATAGTGAGTGTTTGCGTAAGTGTAGCCACAACTAGACACCCGGGCAGTTATGTTCTCTCAGTATTCACATTGTTTCGGGCATGCTGACCTGGCACGTTTCATGATAACGTCCGTTTGGATCGTGAATGTTCGACCGATGAGGTAGACATGGAATGCCTGCACCCCCAACTTGATGGCCAGACACTCCTTCTCGATCGTCGAGTACCTCTCTTCTCTGGGGAGCAGCTTTCGGCTGAAATAAGTCACCGGCCTGTCACTACCATCAGCATCTGTTTGGCTTAGGACTGCCCCTACACCTCTGTCGGAGGCGTCTGTCTGGAGCATGAAAGGCTTGTCCCAATCAGGACTCTTCAGTATCGGGGTCACACACAGGCACTCCTTCAGCTGATCAAAGGCTGCTGCACACTCAGGAGTCCAGGTTACCTGGTTAGGCTTAGTCTTACATGTCAGGTCTGTCAGCGGTGCTGCGAGTGTTGCGTAGTCGGATATAAACTTGCGATAGTATCCCGTGAGACCGAGAAACGATCGTACTTTCGTCTTTGTGGTCGGCTGCTCGAAATTCCTGACCACTTCAATCTTCGCTGACTCTGGGCATACCTTGCCGCTCCCGATGACTTGTCCCAAGTAGCCACACTCAGACATCCCGAACTGACACTTTTTCCATTTGACTGTGAGCCCCGCCTCCTGAATTTTCCCCAGAACCACTTCTAGATGCTGTAGATGGTCGCTCCATGTCTTACTGAACACAATTATGTCGTCTATATACGCGCCAGCAAAGTCGTTCAGTCCGTTCAGTAGCTTGTCAACCATCCTCTGGAACGTGGCAGGTGAGTCCTGCAAGCGAAAGGGCATCCGTGTGAACTGGTACAGCCCGAATGGTGTTGTAAACGCCGTCTTCTCGTGGTCCTCCTTGGCCACAGGCACCTGCCACTACCCCTTCGTGAGGTCGAGTGTGGTGATGTAAGGTGATCCTGCCACCAGGTCAATGAGGTCATCTATGTGTGGCATTGGGTAGGCGTCCACCTTCGTGTGCAAGTTGAGTCGTCGGTAGTCCATGCACAGCCGCAATGACGAGTCCTTCTTTTTGACAATGACGAGTGGGGAGGCCCAGTCACTGGAGGAGTGTTCTTCTATGATCCCGTGGTCCAGCATCTCTTCCAACTCTCGTCGGACATCCTGACGAAGTGCATGGGGGATTCTGTACGGTGCCAAACGCACTGGCCTCGCCTCACCGGTGACTATTCGGTGCTCCATGACAGTCAGGTGCCCTGGGAGAGACTGGAACACCGACCTAAAACGGTCCAGCAGGCTCTCCAGCTCTTGGTTTTGTCCTGTAGTCAGCTGGCTTCCCCTCTTAGGTTGCCCGTCATCTGTCTCGTTCCATGCAGGGACCTCCTCCGGCTCCATCTCTTCTGCTGCTCTCTGTGCCAGAAACACTGTAGCCATTGGTTGGTGCCACTTCTGAAGCATATTGATGTGCAGAACTTGCTTCTTCTTCCTGTGATCTGGCATGTCAAGAGTTGATAGGGACCCTGCCATTGCGCGGTAAGTTTCGATGATGACGTTGGGAGCAGAACAAGCACCTGCTCCCCGGCTTGGAAACTGCGGTCTCTCGCATTCTCGTACCACTTCTTCTGTCGCATCCCCGCCGACTTCAGGTTCTGCTGTATGTGGCCGCTCATCGCCGACATCCGGTCCCGCATTAGCATGACATATGATAGCACATCTTGACCACTGCGTTTGCTTGACACCCACGTCTCTTTCAGCACGTCAGAGGGCCTCGCACGTCACGCCCATACAGGAGTGCGAAGGGAGAGACTCTCTTGTGGCACTTCTCGGTAGGCAAAAAGGAGGAAGAGTATTGTCTTGTCCCAGTCCTTGCCCTCCTATGCAGCACACTTCCGCAACATTGACTTCAGGGTCTGGTTGAAGCATTCGACCAGCCCGTCTGTCTGGGGATGGTAGGGACTGGTACGAATAGCAGACACTCGCAGGAGACGGTACAGCTCTTGGAGTAGTTGAGACTGAAAAAGTTAGAACCTTCATCATTCAGAATCTCTAGGGGAATCCCCACCCTCGCAAAGATCTTCACTAACTCCTTGGCGATCCACCAGCTCCACCCTGCCCCTCTGCAGCCCTGCCCCCCGACCCCTGTGGACCACTTGTCTTCATGACTCCACAGTAAAGGGCACTCGGACAGTCTCGGGCCAGGTGGCCCCGCTGATGGCAGTTGTAGCATCTCCGTTCAGTCTGATCTCGCCCGCGTTCCTTCTTAGAGCTCGTGTCGTTCGGTTGCTTGTCCTTCTCCTTGCAGTTGGCCGCGATATGGCCTTCCTGCTGGCAGATGTGACACCTTCGGGTGTCTTTTCTGGGACCATCCTTCTTTGTCGTGTCCCATCAAAACGCTTCCCGCCGGCGAGCTGATCGGTAGTCATCAGCCATAGAACTGGCCTGTCCTATCGTCGTGGGGTTTCTCTCGCAGAGCCAGATCCTCAGATCTCCAGGTAAGGTGTCCAGGAAGTGCTCCAGCACCACTTTCTCAAATACTTTCTGGACGGAGTCACCCTCAGAGAGCCACTTCTTGGCCAGATCTTGGAGTTGTGTTGCAAGTTCTGAGTAAGCCTCCTGCTCTTTCCGTCTTGCTGCTCGGAAACGCTGACGATAAGTCTCTGAACTTATATCGTACCGCCGGAGAATGGCTTTCTTCACCTCCTCATAGTCTCCTGCTGTATCACTGGGGAGTCCAGGTATGCCTGTTGCACGCGACCAGCTAGCTGAGGGGCTAAATAGACCACCCAGAGTGTCCTATCCACTCGGTGCACTGTCATGAGGCGTTCAAACGTAGTTAAGTAGGCTTCCACGTCGTCTCCCTCGACAAACTTCGTCAGCACCACCTTGCCCTTGCCCCGCCCGCTGCTGCTGCATACGCCGCCACCGCCTTCTTCCACACTCGCGTCGCTCCTCGTGCTCGACGTCTCCACCAACCTCCTGATCATGTCCATCTGTTCTCTCAGTTCTCTCTTGTGTCGGTTCGCCTCGAGCTCCCGCCATCTACGCTCCTCCGCCAGCTCTCCGCTGACGGTCCTCTATGAGCAGTCGCACTAAGTCGGTCAGTGGTGCCGACTTTACGCATGTCGCTTCCGTACGTGCTGTGCCTTCGTCCGCAGCTCCCTCCTCTCGTCCTCTCTCCATCGCAGGCTTGTACGTCGCCCCAGATCTCGTGGTCATCTCCCGGTAGGTCCCACCGATCGACTTACGACGTCCTATCCCACCGCTGCCACCAAATGTCACGCCGCCGCCTCGACACACGCAGGCCGACACTAACTTTTACTCAAATTGACCACATTACAGTAGCGTCGTACACAGTAGTAGAGAGAAAGAGAGACATAAGGCTAGCGGCTAGTCACCAGCTATATATATAGACAAAACAAGACTCGACTGACTTGACTGTCCCCACACAAACCGGTCATGTACATGTATAGTTCCTGGAGTTCACCACACCTTTCAAAACACACCCGCAACAACTCATGGCCCCTTGCCAAACACCTCTTTGCTGTACCAAAGAGTATGTGTAAAATATCCTTCTTTATGTAAGAATCCGCTCATAAGTATTTTCGTGTCAACATAATAATAATATTCATTTTCTTTATCATCATCTTTTTAATCTGTAACCCCACTATATATCTGGAAAAAGTTGAAGTGCCTGAAGCACTGATTTTTCACTAAACGTCTCCAGATTCGACAGAGTTGTGCATGATGTATATCAAGGGAGAGTCTGTTCGATTATGCTTATTGGGTCTATATATACATGCTGTAGCTGCCTTTGTCCTCGCTGTTGCCCAGTCTCTTAGTCCCATGTTGTGGAGAACATACTTGCCAAACTATTACAAGACAAATTTTTTAGTACTTCTATATAAGCTCCACCTGTTGTGGGTGATCAGGCCTGGGGACGTGTTGCCTAATGTAGGCCAGGTATACTTGAGCAAGATTTTGATGGGTTGTGGCAACAACAATATAACAATCGTAGAGAATGGCTACAGCAGTTATTAACCCTCGGCGCGCATGCGCAGCGAGGGTTACGGTATTTGGTAGGTGGGTTTGTCTGTCTGTCTGTCTGTCTGTCTATCTGTCTGTTACCACTGCCACCACGCGCAACGGGACAACAAAAGAGCGGTACCAAAAGGTTTAGCGCTACACTGGCTTGATTTTAAATTTGGCGATTTTCGTATAAGTACTGCATTCGAGAGTTATGGCGTGAAAACCAAGTGAACAAGCCAATATGCTAATTAGTATTGGCTTGGTTACCCCGCCCGGATTCTGCTGTTTGTGCACTGCAGAGGCATGCGATCAAGGGAAGACGAGTGAAGAGTGCAGATAAATCTAAACGCTAAGTATAATACCAACCGCGGGTCCCTCCGCGCCTGCGTATGTTACACTAGCGCACGCGTTTGTGATTCGTATGCGTATGCGTATGCGTAGCTCAGTGTGGCTTCATCCTTGGAAGGCTACCCGTATCACTAAGTACGGTAGTACTTAGTATACAAGTAAATTAAATATCCTGCGAATTTAAAAAAAGAGGCATATAAGGATGGTATAAAAAGAAAGGGAGACAAGATATATAGGGATGGGATACATGAAGCATGGTTAATGAACAGATTTGAGTACGCTGACACCCCCAACCCCATCACACAGTCCCTATATCGTTGCCTGGTGTGCTACTCTTGTAGGGGCTAAAGGTTACTAAAAGCAAGCATTCTTTCACCGTGTCCCTGTTGTTTTTAGTAACATTTTATACTGCCACATTCCCTTTAATTAAACTCCACTTGGACTCTATAAGGGTGTTGGTTACTCAGTAGTGTAGTGTAAGTTGTGATGGTGAATGTTTAATACTTCACCTAGGCAACAATATAAGGATTGTGTGATGGGGTTGGGGGTGTCAGCGTACTCAAATCTGTTCATTAACCATGCTTCATGTATCCCATCCCTATATATCTTGTCTCCCTTTCTTTTACCATCCCTATATGCCTCTTTTTTTAAATTCGCAGGATTTTTTTACTTGTCTCCATTAATTTTTTATATACTACTACGTATTATCTCTGTGGAATGGGGCAAGCCCCTTATAAAAATTTATAATAGAGAAAAAATGCCTGTTGTCGTCATGGAAATGATATGCATACCATGTTTCATCTCCATGTGTGCTGCCGTTAGCAAGTTTGAGGAGTGAAGAAGTAATTTTAAAGAAAAGTGCCTGAGGCTATTTGTTGTTGTGATCGTCATGGAAACGATGTTACACACATGCGTACCAAGTTCCATCTCCATGCGTGGTACCGTTAGCGAGTTTGAGGAGTGAAGAAGTAATTTTAAAGAAAAGTGCCTGAGGCATTTTCGAACAATATGCGGTCATCATGGAAACATGAAATCGTCATGGAAATGATATAATAGGCATACGTACCAAGTTTCATCTCTATTCGTGCTACCATTGGAAAGTTTGAGGAGTGAAGAAGTACACTTAAATAAAAGTGCCTGAGGCTATTTGTTGTTATTTACAAACATGTATTGTTGTCATTTTGATGTTGGCTATTGAATACATTATGTGTACAAACTTGCGTTCACATAGCTCTTACCAATTTTGAGTTACACTGACACATCTAGTATGCCCATTAAAATGTATTAAAACATAAAATGTCCATTATAATGTATTGCCTGGGGCAATTTTGTTGTTGTTTACAGTAAACAACATTGTTTACAAACAAAAAAAGTATGACGTTGCACATGTGGTTATCGATATGTACATTCCTACAAAATTTCATGGCTTTTATCTCTTTCGGTTTTTGGGTTACGCTGGTTTAAGAAGAAGAAGAAGAAGAAGAAGAAGAAGAAGATGAACAAAACTCCCTATCATAGCCCCATACAGGGATTGACATGGTACCTAGCATCATAGATGTATGGGGCTATGATAGGGAGTTTTGTTAGTACTTAGTGTTAGTGCATAGCTGATTCGAATCGACCAATCAGATTTGTTAGTACGAGGTTCCTGATTTCTCATATGAACCTCGTGAGCTAACAAAAGTAACATGAAAACATGATATGAAACCTTGTTTTTTCTGTTGATTTTCAACAGTTCAACAGCATTTCATGTAAGAATGTATCCCGCAAACTGATCTGTACAAATGTTGATCAAAATAACTGATATCTTGATTTTCTTTTCCACGAGACAGTTTTCTGTGTCTACTTTGAGCCCATCTCCCTCCTTGCCATGTATATACATAGTAGATAGCCAGGCAGCTCACGCCCGCCACAAACCACCGCACGCAAATAAAGGGGGTGGGGCTCCGCGAGCGAGTGCGCGCGACAAAGCTACTAAGTCGACGGCGAACGCCTTCGGTATAGCAGCCCGCACAGCGCCTGAATTCGCCTCTCTCTGATTGCGATGGTTCGCGCAGGTCTCTGTCGCGTTTTCTTCGGATGAGTGGCGGAGGACAGTCCCGCAGCGGGAGTAGCTAGAGCGACGGAGCAGCGTATCCTAGCGTTCGGCGTTCAATAGTCCCGCACGAGGTGACGGTCTTGCGCTCTCGTCTCTTTCTCCCATCTTTCAAATTCCCTGTGCTTGGAAACGCAGTGCGCGTATACGGAGCTGATTTGCTCTGCACTAAACATGTTATGTACTCCGTATACTCGGGACATACCGGATTTCAATGAACCCTTGCGCCATCCGCGTAGTGCCCTCGCTGCGCTCGGGACACTACAAACGCGGAGGCCCTCGGGTTCATTGAAATCCGGTATGTCCCTCGCACGTAGTACATAACATATATATACGATCAAGGCAATTTTCTTTAAATTACTTCTTCACTCCTCAAACTTGCTAATTGTAGCACGCATGGAGGTGAAACTTGGTGCGCATGTGTATTACATCGTTTCCTTGACGACCACAACAACAAATAGCCTCAGGCAATTTTTTAAAAAATTACTTCTTCACTCCTCAAACTCGCTAACAGTATCATGCATGGAGATGAAACTTGGTGCGCATGTGTATTACATCGTTTCCATGATGACCACAACAACAAATAGCCTCAGGCAATTTTCTTTAAATTACTTCTTCACTCCTCAAACTTGCTAATTGTAGCACGCATGGAGGTGAAACTTGGTGCGCATGTGTATTACATCGTTTCCATGACAACTACAACAACAAATAGCCTCAGGCACTTTTCTTTAAAATTACTTCTTCACTCCTCAAACTTGCTAACTATAGCACGCATGGAGGTGAAACTTGGTGCGCATGTGTATTACATCGTTTCCATGACGACCACAACAACAAATAGCCTCAGGTACTTTTCTTTATAATTACTTCTTCACTCGTCAAACTTGCTAACGGCAGCACACATGGATGGTATGCATTTCACTTCCATGACGACAATTTTTTCTCTATTATTAATTTTTATAGGGGCTTGCCCCCTTCCACAGAGATAATACGTAGTAGTATATAAAAATAAGTGGAGACAAGTAAATAAAAAATCCTGCGGATTAAAAAAAGAGTGCATATAGGGATCGTATAAAAAGAAAGGGAGACAAGATAGGGATTGTGTTTGTGGAAGCACAGAGATGCTAGCGAGGAGTTAGGACTCCCACAGGTCATTACAACAGCCCTATATCGTCGTACGGTGGGAATACCTAGCATCATAGATGTATGGGGTTATGATAGGGAAAGTTTTCAATCTTCTTCGTAGGGTGGGAGTGGGAGTGATGAGAGAGTCTGTAGAATATTGCTATAGGTAATGAAGTACTTACAGATTTGTCATGCTACATTTCCATGGAGTGCGCATTTAGGTGGAAGTGTAATCAGCTGACCATAACATTGGATATACATGTTTATACATGGAACATGGAAAAATTGTGTAATGCAAGAAAACAAAATTCAAGTATGCAAGGTTGGCTGATATATTCACGAGGAAGTAGTAAAGCACCGATACGACGGTATAGGGCTGTTGTAATGACCTGTGGGAGTCCTAACTCCTCGCTAGCATCTCTGTGCTTCCACAAACACAATCCCTATCTTGTCTCCCTTTCTTTTTATACGATCCCTATATGCACTCTTTTTTTAATCCGCAGGATTTTTATGGTTAGCAAAGGTCTGGGTTAGCACTAGCCTCGCACGCGTTTTACAGAGCCTTTTGTTCCATCAGCCCTTCAGAACACGCGCGCACACGCACGCATTAGCTAACAGCCCTTGTTCCCAGGTCTAGCTAACTTTGTCAGTATCTCCGACTTTTCAGGATGCTTCTGATACTTGAGTCGTTCATTCGTGATGGTGATATTGTCCTGGAACAAAAATGCTGTATGATTTTGATTTCCGCGTGATCATGGTTGTGTTGTGTACTTGTGATTTGATGAGATGATGATAGTTTATGTCGTTCTTCGATTTTCATGTTCCTAGGCTTTATTACATGTTCACTGTTTATTCTCATTTCAGGCCTGCTTTATAAAGCCGGTCTTCTAAACATGTTCATTGGCCAGGCCTAGAGTCACACACTCTGATTGTTACAAATAATATTGCTAGACTAACACTTAGCTACACGTAATATATAGCCAGACCCACATGCGTGGTACTATGCTGCCGAGGGTTTTGCACTTTAGTGCTTTTAATTTTGGTTAGTAGAAGTGTTGGCGACCTACCAAGGTGTTATAGAGGCTCTACTGTTTCGCACTAATTCTGGTTTTGGTGTTCAACATGGCGACATTTCATGTTGTGTGTTTCAGTGTGTCACTCTAAGAATCCACATAGGCTGCATTCATCTACCAATCCTCCACGGCAGGATGTTATGGTACACACACTTGGGCAGCATGGATTGCGTGTATACAAGCCAAAATATTATACACATGGACAGTGAAGGGTTTAAAAACCAAACTAGCACTGATTGTGTTGCATAACCAGTCAAAGCTTCTTTTCCTGCAGATATTACTGTTATCCATGGAAAGTGTGGAGAGCAGGTGGAAGCTATGTATGCCTTAGATGGCTGGTCAGATGGAGTGATAGTTGTCACAGAGACCTACGCAGATGGAGATGATACCTATAACACCGAAGAAAGAATTTCTCGGAGACGCTGTCAAGATGTATTGTTCCAGCCTCTGAATGTCACTAATCTTACATGCGTACGGAGAGAATATGTCACCATTGATGCTGTAATAGACCTAAAGAGTATTGGCACACATGTCATGGTGGAGTCCCATGACACAACAACAGCATATAATTTCATTCTTGAAGGTATTATTACCATGATAATGATGGTATTTGATATTAAGGCTATTTTTATCTTCCAGAGAGCAGCTGTGAGTCAGATATCACCATGGATTCAGTCGGGAGCAACATAACAATCACGATTGATCCCCCCACATGCCCAGGGTGGGAAGACCCCAACAATCTTGAATACGAGGCATTTCTGGTTTATAGTGAAACGAACAACAAGACTGTTAAAATTGCCCCTATATTATCAGTGGTGAATTCTTACCAACTTCATGGTATACCATATGGACTCTATGAGTTTATCGTGAACGCTACAAACAGTTGCAGAGAGCAGTGTACTCTAGCGAGGACGAAATTTCATATTCCAGGTACGTTTATGTCTCTAGTATAATATACATTAAGATTGTGTAGTAAAATTATTATGTGGTATCTTACTCAATAGAACCAACCATGGACGTGACAGCACAGACTAATTCAGCTTTTCATCTGATGTCAGTTTGGATTTCTCTATTGCCAGGTATATACAGTAACAAACTGTGCAAAAAAGTCAGGCAGTGTTAGTGGTGTGTCTGGTGGCTGGGTCGGGTTCGTTGCTTGATTATGCCCAAGGTATATACATACAACTTTCAAACTTAGATTAAAAAAATTGATCGGGAACCCCCTTAGTGTTTGCTGCCAAACAGAAGTGCTTAGGATTGCTCACACAAAGTTGGAGAGTATGTCTGAAAATTCCATACTAGTGCACAGGTATAGGTCCTCATTGCACATAAAGCTGGTGGTTTTAAATGTCATTTTAGCTATACGGCGAGCCATCATCTCACCCCAGGCCCAGAATTACTAGCTTTGCGCAGCATGCAAACAAGCTCGCTAAACATCCTCTTGACCGACACACACCGAGTGTATATTGATGGAATCCTGTGCATTAAGTGGCATGATTAATTTGTACAGCACACGTGCACAGGATAAACATTAATGGGAAGTCTGGGAGTGGCAAACAGCCCAGTGACGCAGATCTTATCTCTCTTCGCAGGTTTCTTAGTCTTTTCACAGTTTTGAGACTGAGAGCTCTGCGACCATTATCATAATAATAATTATTATTCTGAAAGATATTAACAATCACCAGAAAATTTCATTATATAGATCATAAAATAATTATAATCATGCTGCGACACAATTGTCATGTTCTGAAAGAGATTTTGTCACCAGAAAAATTCTGCATTTATTCATCATTGGAGTGTGAATAATACTTTGCCAGACAGCATGGCAGCATATTATATATAGCTCTCTCGTGAGCGCCTTCTACATGCAGACATCATTCTTCACCATAGCAACCACAGAGAATGATATATAGTATCCAGCAAGTTCATGGAATAGAGCCCACCTTGTGTATGTTATACACTACAGACCATTATTCACCAGCCATTAGGCTTTAAAGCACGGTCTTGTTTATAGCGACTCTGTTTCTTGGGTACGTATAGGTCCACAGCACCTAGCTGCACTTGTGTGTACGGCTGAGGAACAACGGTGCATACCGTACATGCTACAGATGATATGGCTACAGAATTCAAAGGTCTGCCAGTTTAAATCATGGTTTTTAGAGACTTTACAGCATAAAATGTTCTGATGTGGTCCTCACCTCATGATCAGTTTGACATCACTGTTTGAGTGGTGCATGATTCAGCTATTATTATGTCATCAGGCATATAAAAATACTATTCATGTTACAGACATTCAAACATCACTAAACTGTAGTCCCTGGAGAAGTGAGTCCACCAGTTCCTGTGTCCACTGTTCCTGTGTCCACTGTGTCTCAATAGCTAGACATCACAAACTCCCCCAGCCCCAGCAGAGCCTCTCTCAACTCCCTCCTCCCTATACCCATGTCTCTAGGGTGATACTTTAGTCCCACTGACTCCATAAACTCCAGTACTTTCTGAGGTTCATTGCACTGGAGTTGACTCATGACGTACACACCTAGTCCCACAATGTGGCCGTGAATGAAGCTTGCAGTCTCTTCTCGAGGGCATAGAACAGGTAGTGTTCAGAGCCTTCCTCTACACGATAGTGACCGGCAGGTAGGCAGATGGTGTTGACAGTCATGTACGCCCTCACAAGGCTCTCGATGCCTGCATCGCTGACTACAGCTATGTCTTTTGCCTTGCTCAAAACCTTAGACCTTGCTTTACGAATTTCCTCAGGGGAAAAGGGGTATTCAGATCTGCTGGCTTTGTGAGCTAGTTCCCAGTCATAGGTTGCAGTGTGTATCTGCTATCTTGAGGTCCCTGGGAGCCGTTGAGATGAGGTTAAAGTCGATAATTAGAGGGTCTGGGGTAGTTTTACCCACATACACCACCTCACTGCCCCTACGTACTGAGAAATACTTTGCCACGTCCACCGCCTGCCCTCCACCGATCCCCACGAACGTATGGCATTGCGCCAAAGACTCTAACTGTTGCTCAAGCTCTATCTCCTCCGTCGTTCCCACCGTCACCGCTGCACGTTCGGTGTTCCATTTAGTGCCCCCTTTACTAGTGTCCCTACACAAATCCTCCATTCTGAACCGCTGATTTCGAGACCGTTCCTAGTACCGGGATTCCGCGCTCGCGAGTCCGGGAGTAAGCGGTTGGGCCACGTTCCAGTTTCGATGCGAAATTGCACGTGGGCGCGCGAGATTTTGGGTGTGGCGGCGCGCGGCGGCACACTAGCAACTGTGTGTATGCATGCCAGTGTCAGTGAATTCCCCAAGGGGCGTTGTATAAACCGCCTCGTTGAGAGAAGCTTTAACCCTTAGATGACTCAACTAAACATTTAACTCCTTTCTCACTGAATTTTGATTTGCTTAGTGATGCGCAGTTAGAATTTACGCAATAATTTACACACATTTTTTATGTACAACTGTGACAATTACATAATGTAAATGTGATGACAACAAACCAAACAAAAATTGATTAAGCACGATTTCCTTATATACAGTAGTGTATGCAACACACACACATGTAACAAGCTACATAATCAGTGAGGATAATGAAAGTGCATGTTTTTACAACAATTATTTTCAAAGCTAATTTCTGTTTGCTTGGAATCTATGGACATTCCTACTGACCTGCAGGAGAACAACACACACACACAGTAACAACTGTCATCTCTTTACCACTTAGTTAACTCTGAGCTACATAAACTGGGAAAGTAGTGTCAACAGAGGTGTAAAGTGGGGCACAAAGGACTATCTGAAGGTCTAGCAAGTGGGATAGGGAGAGTGTTGGAGTGTTTAGAGTGGTGTGGTGTGCTGTTGATGAACGCACATGTGACTACAGTAGAGACGGCCTCCTCACCACTGCTAGAGTGCTGTCTCTTCGACTTTGAGGAAGGGACTTTGTGACGAGGTTCGTGGGACACTGTGTCATACATGTCACCACTTCTGGCAGAGCTGCCACTAGCCTGCATCTGGGTCTGGGTGGAGGGAGAGAGAGAGCACACAGTAATGATGTAAATTGGGACAGTACCATGTAAGATTACATTGCTGGCATAGCAGTCAGCATACCATAGCCTACAAGTCTCTATGCACTCAGTGGCTGTGTATACAATACAAGGCACACTTTTCATGCTTCACTGCCACCAAAGCGGTTTGCTATACACACTCCAGTGCTGACATGATAATACCCAACACATGTTCACGTGTACACCACCATACAGACACAGTTAAGGCACGTGTAGTCATGTACTCTAACCTTGTAAGGATAAGTGCATGGCTTTGCAGGCTGGCCTGGTGTGTTTACTCATGTGCTCATGCTATATATGAGCAAACTTGGCAATGCACACATTGCATAGTGAAACTAGCCACTTACAGTGTTTCCTTGTCACATGATACCTTTTAGACAAGGGCACTATCCACATCTATCTATACACCACATGTTTCTCACATTGTCCAGTTTCCCATAGCTGGCAGCGTCAGTGGGAGCTACCCCACCAGGTAGAGTGGCTCCTCTCTTCCCGGGATGGTCCAGTTTGCCATAGTGGAGAGGATCTTCCATCTGGGTCTGTGGACAACCAAGTATCATACATGTACAACTCAGTATGTGACATTGGTCAGGGGAGACATCACAATGAATATACTCCATATACTTATGTAGGTAAGTATGCTAGGCCATACACCATGCCACACATACCCGGTCTAGTTTCCCATATTCAGAGGAGCCAGGATCAGCCACAGGCAGTGTGTTGGTCTTCTTGCCGCTGTGGTCCAGTTTACCGTATGACCTGGTTCATCTGCTGCATCTTGGTCTGTGAGGTGAAGAGGGATTGCAAGGTCTTTATCACTCCATACAGGTGTGGGTCAGGTGGCACTTAGTGTTGTTGTAAGAGTAACTGTACCTCACCCGGTCTAGTTTCCCATATTCAGAGGAGCCAGGATCAGCCACAGGCAGTGTGTTGGTCTTCTTGCCGCTGTGGTCTAGTTTACCGTAGTGACCTGGTTCATCTGGCTGCATCTGGGTCTGTGAGGTGAAGTTGGATAATATCGCATCCAGAACACATTATAGTCCATACAGGTGTGGGTCAGGTGGTGGAGTGATCACATATATACAGTGCATGGAAGTGTGACTGACCCTGTCAAGTTTCCCATACTCAGCCTCACCAACTGCTGGAGCAACTGTAGCAGTCTTCTTGCCACTGTGGTCCAGCTTCCCATAGTGAGCTGGCTCCTCAGCACCACCACGCTGTGTGTGGAGTACAATAACAATATTATTGTAATGCATGGATCCAGGGATGACTTCACAAAGGGTGGGTACTGATAATAGTATTCAGTGTCCAAAAGACAATGCATATGGAGGAACCTGCCTGATCTCCAAGCCAAATTCCACCACTGCGAATACACAGTGTACTCTGCACTTACACACAGTATAGTCTGAATACCACCAATAAGAGCACTGCATGCATGAACAGTATACAGTTTGTATAGTCTACACATGAATCTATTTATAGCAAAGGTGTGGGTATGAGCATGGAAGAACATTCACATACATGGAGAATCACTGTACATGATGTTGCCCACATTATGAAACTACAGCTTCCTTAATGGATCTGTATGCATATCCTGTGACTGTCAGCTTTAGATCAATGCCCGTAAATGGTCATATGTACAATGGACACCCCACAAAAGGGAAATCACGAGGAAACAAGTGAGGAATAGAAAATGTTAAGTGTTTGGTGTGGGCAGGGGAGTACAACAGCACATTTACTACATGGTTTGTACACATCTGTGAATGATAGGCCTCTAATGCATGCACCGTTTTATAAACTTTGTAAGTGGAAAGTGAGTCAAGCAAGTCTATATACCAACCTTTCTTTGTGTGTGTGTGTATTCTGTAAGTATTTATACTTCTGTGGACATTTCACAAACGTGAAAATGCACATTGGTTGCTCAGAACGACACACTCACAACATCTCGTATCACACACTGCACTATAGGTAGCTATGTATGACCACTACACAATACCTTTTCAAGTTTTTTATAGGCTGGGTCAGTGTCACTCAGCAGCTTCTGGGTAGGTTGCGTGTTACGCTGTATGACATCATATGTTTCACTCATTTCTATGGGCTCATGATCACCACTGCAGTGAAAAAGAAGACACCCGTAATAAGTTGGGATACTGTAGCAGATGCAATGCAGCCAAGTTGACTTCAACCACTGACACACACACCATAGTAATGACTGACATCAGCAAGAGCTGTAGCAATATCATAACATACCCATTATCAGGTTTCTCCTGCTTTGAGTGGTATTTTTTGTATATCGCATAGATGAGATAGACCAGCCAGAACAAGAAGATGAGCAGGGAAATGACGAAGCTAACCGCAAACAGGGCATCTCTGACTGCATTACTTCCACTGGGGCTTGCACACAGAGAAGTGCCGTTTCTATAATCTCCACCATCAACTGTGAAATCTGATACAAAACAGGTTATGCGAACGTTAGTTATTCTACAGTGAAACAGAAATCAAACTCACCATTTATACCTGCATAGATGAAGGATGCAACCCACGGAATAGCCTCTAAACCAGGCAGCACTATTGCAAGTATTAACGGAGGACACAGCATCATCAGAACGACACATCGAATCCAACATGGGCAGCAGCAGCTTAGGATACACAATCGGCAGCACCGTTTGAGAGCCTCTGCAAGCAGGGATCATAATTATAAAGTTTGATGTCAGGATAAGTAATGGCTTACCTTTTCCACCTTCCTTTGTAGCTCCCTGTGGCCATGTTTTCACTACCACTACAATAGAAATAACCACTCCAGCAAGGAAGAATATGAGCCCCAGTGCTATCAGTACAATGTCGGCAGGACTCAACTGCTCGAGCCGAGAGGCTGCAATAGACAGAGATTTTAAACCATGAATGTTTAGTCAAAGAGAGTTCTTTACCCGTTGTTTCAGTAGGTGTCTCTCCACTCCATAACATGTCAACACATGATCTTAGTATTGGTGAATCACTCATGATGCAGTAGTCATGAGAAGTAGTGTAGTTTGCAGTACTCCCAATCGTAATCCAGTGTATGTTGAACATAAACTATTGAGATTACAACACAGCATGTTACTAGCATTGGCAGCAGTTGGATTGTTACATGACAGTAGATCATTCGGCAAACAAGCTGAGAAAATAGAACAATTAATTTGTCTCTTTGGATCACATGACATTACCTGTTTCAATCCCTTGTGATGGAAGAACCCAGTTATCATTTCCACATCTGCTCATGAACGTTTGACTTCCATTAACAAGGTAACGTTCATTGGTGGTGTAGGTAGCAGTAGATCCCAGAGACACTCCATCAAATGTCACATTTCCTCCAGAGAATGAGTAGATACCCAGACCATTGTTAAAATCTGCCTCTTGAGTCCAAATAACGCCGGGTATCATCAAATCCCTTGGATCACAAACTGTTGGTTTAATAGCAACATTACTATACAAAAACCACCTTCACTCACAAATGGAGATGTCGAGAGCCTCCACTGTCTGGGTGCCACAACCCAGGACCACCACAGCCACAGAATATGAGGTAGTGATGCTGTCAGAGGAAAAGGTGTAGCTGCAGTTGTCTCCAGTGCAGCTGTCTGCAGTGACAATATCAACTGTTGTCTCAACTCCAGATCCATTACTGATGACAACTCTGTAGTCTGTGTCACTCCCAAGTACCTGCTGACATGCATCAACATTGCTGCAGTTAGTTAGTAAAGACACACTTACTCTAGGCCAGTTGACGATGATGGAGTCTATATCCAGAGATGTCTCACTGGACATTATATTGTACATGTAGTGGTAGGTGAAGTTTGGGTAGTGACGTTACCTAACACAGCAAGAAATAAGAATTGTGATGTGTAATAATGAGCCAAACATTTATACTCGCACCAGTTAAGTTGGCTGTGTTTGTAGAGCTAATCTCTCCAGTCATTGACCCATCACACGTGTCAGCTCTGACAGTAATGTCACTCTGACTGACATCGACATTGAAAGTGTACTGGGTCTGAGTACCAGGTGTGGTGATGACTGAACTACCATCCATGACCATACAGTCTCCAGATGACTGGCAATCAGAGGTGGGTGGAGTCAGGGTCAACACATACTGAGACACAGAGCCACCACAACTGATGACAGGTTCACTCCAGCTCACATCCAGAGTACAACCAGCCTCATTAATCTCAGTAACAGTGACAGCTAGAAATGGTGGGGCTGAGGCATTTCCTAATAGAAATGGTTAAAAATAAATTTCATATACTTGTCTGCACACAAATTTACCAGTGATACAGATGTCGTCTGTGCCAATGATGTCAGTAACATTATTACCATCAGCACATTCCACCATTGTTCCATTGAGATCCTCAGTTATTGAGACAACACTCAGAGAAGAGTTGGCAGCAGTCTCACTGCCTTCAGTTCGAGATGATCTAAACCTCCCATTTGGTCCACAAGTGTCTGGATCTGGGGCACTACTGAGATATGTACACACTGCGAACTCTCCTCCAGGACTGACAGTCCAGCGGGTAGCTCCACTGTCTACTACACAAGTGAATGTGACATCATCTCCAGGACATATCTCATCTGGTCCAGTGAACTGACTTAGTACACCTGCAAAACAGTTTGTTTCACTTGATTACAAATCCATCTAAGGAAACCAAAGGGTCATAAGACAGTGTCCATATTATCACGAGGTATGTATTAAATTGATCCATATCAGCTGCAAGTATAAGAAAGGTGTAAACCCTCCTCCAGAAGTACAGATACAAAAGGTAGGAGGGTGTCGCAGCATCCCCGATATTGTGGGGGGGGGGGAGAGAACTGAGAACCTCCAATCAAGATGACTAGCGCAACATGTGTATCACTCATGCTCGAAGCTTGCACTGACAGAGGCCACACGTTATAGCATTGCTACAGAGCGTAATCACACATGAAGCACAAAACCATGAAACAATCACACATGCATGTCTAATCACGGAATCTGTTTACATGCTAAAACGACAGAGTTGGCCGTGGTAAGATAAGGCCTTACATTATATCCGCCAGAATTTCCCTCATGCACTGTGACAGACACAAATCTCTCAGAAAACAAATAAACAGGATCTTAGGCTGAGATTGGTAATTAAGGTGGAGGGTCTGCATCATTAGGGTCACCAGTGAAGGCCCTGCAAACATTGCCCTCGTCGAACCCTAAGTGTGCACTAATTGAAATTTTTATGTCGGTAAAACAAGCACATGCTAAATCTTCTCCTGTGTAGCTGACAAGAAACACGCCAACACCAAGTGACTCCAGTTTAACTTACTGGTTAGTCTTTGGTCTTACACCCTGAAGTGATAGACTTGGGAAAGCCTGGAGCATACAGCAGAGAAACTGGTCCAAACACGTGGTATTCCAATTAGCGCAAGCTAATCGGGCAATTGCGGTCACCAACACTTTCAGGTTTTTCAGATATGTACAGTACTTCCAAGGACCCCAACCTTGACAGTTCTGTCTGTGCTTCAAGTTGAGTTTATGCATGTGTTAACATCTTTTTCCCCCCAGTGTTTCCTCAGAATACTGCACACGCATTTCAGGTCAAATGTCCCGGAGAGTGCAAAATAGACTTGTTTTGCAGTCTCTTCAATACATTCCCCATCCTTCATATCGACAACTACAGACAAGATACCTTGCGAATACTCCCCTAGAAGCAAATTCGGCAGTTTCTGGCAATGGGAAGAGTGACTTTTCATACCCGCTCATGCGCAGATTTGTAGTAAGCGCCCTTACAAAACCGGGTTCATGAAGGTTGTCCGAACTTTGCATGGGCTTAGTTCTGAAGAGGGTTAGTGTAGTGTATTCAAAGCCAGTAGGTTAACGGTAACATCTAAGTCATTGCAGATAGCAAGTAGGTTTCAGAAAGTTTTGTGTACAGGGGAAGACATATCCCAACCCCCCCCCCCGTGGAACCTGGTGGGGAGAATCCTGAATAGAGTCTGCCAGCAGAAGATCACGCTAGTCCTGATTGCCCCAGTATGGAAGAGCCAACCATGGTACCCGATGTTGTTGGAGTCCCTGGTGGACTTTCCAATCCTCCTCCCTCAGAGGGCAGACCTGATCATCCCGACACACCCAGAGAGTGTCCCGGAGATGATGCCCCGACTAGCCGCCTGGCATCTCTCAGGCGACGCTACCAGGATAAGGAAATTTCGCAAGAGGGCACAGAGCAGCCCTTTCCCGTAAGTAAGAACATTTTTGCACTTTGCCCTTTTGTTTATGTGGTTAGCCACTGAAGTGGCACCTTTTGAGATGCCTTCGGAGCAAACGTTTGTAAGATATTACTCCACATCCTGGAGTAACTTTCATGAGCAGAATTGTCGGACAGAAACGTTGTGATTCTCTGCAGTGAAGGTGTCTATTTGTGAGTGACTGGAATCACCCAGTAACCGGGAAATACCCCGCGTTACCTTACAGGCTGTGGGTATTTTTTGTCTACTTACTACTGCGCCTAGTCTGGTCACCAGACCCTTCCTACAAAAATTACGCGCATGCGGTAGTCACATGCGCGAAAGGGAAAGAAGGGTCTGGTTCAGAGCTATGTATACCCTAATGCTGGCCCTGGAATTTTGATTAGCAGGAGGTGGGCGTGCCACTTCAGTTAACCACATAAACAAAAGGGCAAAGTGCAGTGTTGTAGCTATTTTCTTTTCCTTTGTAACCTCCACTGAAAGAAAGTAGCCTATTGGGTTGGTTAAGGTTGGGTGGTAGTCAGAAAAACCGCGCGCTATATGGAGATGGTAAATGAACTCAACAATCTGCACGTGGGTTGTACATGATGCACAGAAATAACACACAGCAAGTCCGGGAACAGCTAGCAGAAGGACAATTCATGAATTGACTCTTCTTTGCGGCCTGGCAGACGGTCGAACACAAGCAGGAGAAGAGCATGACACAAAGATTTGCCGAAACCAGTGGGAGAGACACAAAACACAAGTCTCCCTCAAGCAAACGTCCGTATTGCCTCTCGCTGTAATGGCGCCTTTACTACGCCAACGGCGTAGCCTCGACTGAGCTTGGACTACAACTCGTCTTTCTAAAACTCCACCCAAGATCCAGCCCCCTAATTCAGTAGAATGGCATTCTAACACATGTTCTCACTTTCCAGCCTTGGCCTGCGTTAGGGTGTATAGCTCTGAACCAGACCCTTTTTCCCTCCCGTGCATGCGACTCCGCATACTTGTAGGAAGGGTCTGGTGACCAGACTAAGGGTTTATAGGTAGCCAACATAAATCATCGAACAAGTACACCACAATGTCAACATCTAGGAACGAGGGAATCATAACGAGAAGAGGATAGACGAACACAATCTTACTCAAAGATAGGACTTTTGGACGTACTGTGAGAATGCACTGCGTGCTAAAAACATACGTAACTAGAAATACCACACTCACCAGATGAAAATGTGGCGAAGACAAATAAACTCAGAACAAACTCATTCACCATGCTGTGTTCGGCTAGCGAAAGGAGTATCAGTAAGTCTCAAGAGTGCGAAGAAGACGAATGTAGGGCGGGTACAACACACACAAACCGCATCAGACTGGAATCAAGGCTGTTTCAATTGCGTACTCACTTAGTGACGTCACTGGAATATAACCCGGCTCGCGTTGCGCATGCGCATAACTTCGAAAGGTGCTGGGCGGCCGGGGCGCACGGCTGTTTCAATTCCGTATGTACGCGTACCAACTTAGTGACGTCACGGAATCATTACGTAATCATAAAGTAGCAACGGGGCGCGCGGGCGTTGGCAAACGGCCCTAGGCCCTATATGGCTTTTTCACGGCGCTTTGCGCACCGAGGATTAGTGGGCGGAGTTTTTACGCAAAACCACGTTGACCCTTGGAGAAGACGCTACGAGTAGATACGTTTTTCGTGGCCCATGGTCGCTTCTCGACAGCGGCGCAGGCAGCAGAATGAACAGCTATCAAGCCTGAAAAGTTGTCTTCTACCGATCGCCAGCAATTTTGAGAGAAAGTCTGATTGAAGGCAGAAGGGAATCAGAAGGGCAAAAAGCGTTAGATGACCGGTTGTATACTGTATGCGACGGCAAGCATCCTTGCGAGAAAGCGGTATGTCTTGGTCATAATCTGGCCATATATTGATGTGCACGTGTATAATGACGGGCCTATACAAGAACATGGGATGCTACCGCGTTATCCCCCTGTCCTTCCCACCTTGCCTCCCACCGTCCCCGTGGTGCTCTAGAACAATCAGAGCTGTCTCTCC